CTGACATACTTTTTGTGAGCACATTTTGTGGTTCTAAAAAGATTTAAAGGACAAAAAATCTGGTAGTTAAAATCTTTAGAAACAAGAGCATACACAGTTTAAAATCTGTTTATTAATCTGAAGTAATTATCGGAAAAATATTTTGAGAGAGTAATAGTTTGTATTTGACTAATCAATTAGAACAATATTTTTGCCAATATTACAGTGATGAGTTGTGGCCTGATTGTGAGTGAGTGGAAAAGAGCAAGGAGTAAACACGTAATTAAGCCGAAAGGAATTCAACATCTACTATATATAGATATAAAAAAAAAATAGAACCCCTTGCCCTACTTGGCTCCGCCCGTCCATGAATAAACATGATGCTTATAATAAGACACCTTTTTCTATTTTGAACTATAGGATAAGTAATTTAAACTCAACTAGGATTTTGCTAATTCAGTTTTATCTTTTTAGATATCTATAATCTTTATGGTAGGAATCAAATATTGTAAATAGTAGTCATATATTATCCATTTAAAATTTCAAGAAGATAAATAGTGTAATTATTTCCAACAATATATGACTCATAACATGAATTATTTCCATCATAAACCATAGAATTTAAGTGCTCCCTCTCAATTTCAATTTGTTTGGTTGGTTTTAACGGTCCTACGGATTTTAAGAAAGTAAAAAAGATATGTAGAATGTATCATTGACATGAGCAATAGAGCTATTAGACAAAGTAACTAATGGATATAAGAATTAGAAACTAATCTCATATTATCCGATCATGTGATTAGTGGCACGTGAGTCAAGTATCCAATAACTCAATGTGGACGATTGCTAGCTAACTAGAGAGCCATACTCCAAAAAAAAAACATATCAAAGCAAATTGAAAAAGAAATAATCAACAAAGTGATTCAAGAATCATGATGAGTTGAGTTAATGCAATGTACAAACCAGATTTACAAACTGAATCCATCACTATAAGCACATCCAAATATGATTATCCCAACCAATGAAGCTATCATCCAAATACCCTACAAAATGATAGTAATATGACAATAAAAAGTAAACAAGAATGACTTAAGACACATCTGCAGCTGTTTCTTCAATGGTTCCAGGTATGAAATTTCTTCACACTTGTCTTTTTAATTTCACTCCAAGTCTGAATTTGTGGGTTGACTCTGTGTGATTTGATGTTGACGGGTAATGGTGATAGTGGGGTGGGGTGGGGGTGGAATTCGACTTCCTGAGGTTATTAAGGCAATCAGGGAAAATGGATGCCTGTAAGGTGTTTGTTTAAGTGTCTGAATGAATTCTTTACCTTTGTGAAGGATATTTCACTGTCATGTTGATTCAAAATGGTTAGATAGTTCACTCTGACTATGGCATTGCACTTTCTGATTTAGAATGTCTATCATTGAGATGTTTCTGGTTAACTGAAACTTCATGTAGACACGTGGTTATGATCACACTGAATTTGCACTCTTAAGTATTCAGTCTAGGTTTTGCTTAACTTTGAACCCTTTAGGCTCTAGGGGTCTGTCTCCAACCTCCAACTTAGCATTAGTTTCCTCGTGAGTCTCGTCAATCAAAACTACGTCATCCGCAAATAACATACACCTTGACACCTCAGCTTGAATTTGTCGCGTCAATACATCCATCACCAAGGCACATGGAAACGGGCTAAGAGTTGATCCTTGGTGCAACCCTATTAACATGGGAAAGTGTTTTGAGTCTCCTCTCACTGCCCTAACTTGAATCTTGGCTCCATTGTACATGTCCTTAATCGACTTAATGTACGCCACGGCCCATAGGTATACCTCTAGCCTCTAAACATCTCCATAGAACCTCCCTGGGGACTTTGTTGTAAGCCTTTTCTAGGTCGATGAATACCAATGCAAGTCATTCTTCCTATCCCTATACTGCTCCGTCAGTCTCCTTACGAGATGAATGGATTCTGTAGTCGAGCATCCTAACATAAATCCAAATTGGTTCTCAAAAATTGTCACGATCCTCCTCACTCTCATCTCCACCACCCTCTCTCATACCTTCATAGTCTGGCTTAGCAGTTTGATACCCCTATTGTTGTTGCAATTTTGAATATCACCCTTATTCTTGTACAAATAATCATACCCCATCTCCATGCATCGGGCATCTTCGTCATCTTGAAAACAACACTAAACAACTCAGTAAGCCACTCCATACCTGCCCTGCCTATGCTCTTCCAAAAATCCACCTAAACTTCGTCTGCCAGTCATTCTACCCTTACGCAACTTAGGAATATCAACCTTAACCTCCTCAACTTTTATATGCCTAGAATAAACATAATCACTATTCACGACGCCTCTCTAAGTGCTCCAACTCTCCTAGCACAATGCCTTAACTAATGAGTACCTCCTCTACCAGTACTTTGTCATCATCATCCTTGATACACTTCACTTGGTCAAGGTCACAGGCCCTCCTCTCTCTAGCCTTAGCTAACTTGTATAACTTCTTATCCTCATTTGTGTTCGCTAATTTTACGTACAAGCGCTCATTTTTGCTGTAGTAACCGCTAACTCTGTCTCCTTTTAAACCATCTTAGCTTATACTTCTCCCTATTCGTCCACTTCTCCTTCTTGTCTTACTCTCCACCAACTTCGCATAAGCCAACTTCTTTGGGTCCAATTTCCCTTGTACTTCTCCATTCCACCACCAGTCCACTCTATGCCCACCAGAACGGCCTCTCGAGATACCCAACACCTCTCTAACTGTCACCCTAATAAAAGTTTCATAAATTGAATGCACATGTTTTATGTTAATAGATACAACTTAAAATATGAGTGGTCTACACATTAGTTAAACTCAATTGATAATCCTTGCGACTAACTTGATACCTTGATAAAGTATCACCTCAACATATTACTTTAATAAATAATAGCATGAACTTCGTTTGAATCATAAATTAGTTTTCTGCACAATTTGTCCACTGGTAATTCTGAAACCTTTTCATGGTTACTTTGTGTTGACTTTACTCTAACTCATATAGTCTAATTTCAAAAGTTACATTGGAAGGTTAAAATAATTTCTCTGCTATCTTTTTTATCTTAAAGCAAGCACCAACAATATAACAAAGTAAGGCTGTTCAAGAAAAACTGAAAAGCCGATCAAAATTGAACTGAAAAATGAATCAAACCAACTAAAAAGAGAGACATGTATTTGGTTTGATAATATACTGGAAAAAGATGAACCAAAACGACATTTATTTTTATAGAAGACTATAATAAAAATAAATGTCATTTTGGAAGTAATTATAATAAAGGATTCATTATTGTTTAGTTAAATGCGTGGGTATAACGTGTATGATCACTTTCTTAGCAAGTATTGTTTAAGTACTTCAAATCTGTCTTTCATTTTCACAAGCGAAGATTTATTAAACTAATTGTTATTTGATATTGTTTTATCAATAGTTCTTAAAAAGGGCTTAATGGTTCACGACCACCCTTACATTATCTTTATCAACAACAACAACAACAAAAAAATAAAATTTGGGACCACTTTGAAATTGACACCATTTGTTCGGTGTACACTCGAACTACTGTTGGTCCTACTATCCCCCCTAAACTTGGTATTTTTAATAGCCTTCACTTGCTAAACACTGACATGGCAAAGAGCATGGATACACTCTCTTTTAGGCACGTGAGAGTGAAGAAAAAGTTGAAAAATCACTTCCAAGTGAGGTATCTTGCAACGGTGAATTGCCATAGTCATATCATATACAATAGTTTATTTGTTCAAAATTGTATATTTCTTCTTACATCTTCTTAATAAACCACACATATCTTACCATATATTCATTTTTTTCAATTCAAGTCTATAAAAGAGACTTCACTGAAGTTCTATTATTTTAGCCACTTAAAAGGTTTTAGTCAAAATAATGGAGTTCCAAGTGTAAACTTTCTTTATACTTACAAAAAAAAGGGGTAAATTTTCTTTCTATTTCTTATTAAGAGACCAACAACTATTTATTTCATCTGTGTACTTTTTCTTTTTCGGGGAAAATCTATAAAACAAATTTCTAGAGCTCCATTATTTTTCACCAAATAAAAATAGTTAGCCAAAATAATGAACTTTTCAACTATGTATTTCTTTTTAGATGCAATGATGATTTGTTTCAGCTGTGTATTTCTTCTTTTTCTGTCTACGAGTGTAAAAAATAAAAATATACAAAAATAAAAAAAAATAAAAAAAATAAAACTCTACCAAAAAACAGTTCAGCTGTAGGTATCAAATTCAGGGGGATCTTAAACTATTATGCCTCAATAGAAGTAGAGAAACATATTATTGTTAAGGTTTCATTTTCAGTTTTACGTTTATATAGAAAAAAAATGGGATTCATTTGTTTATTTAGTATAATTTAAAAAAATTGGCAAGGCTTAAAAGTATATATTGATGTAACTTAGCTTAATGAAAGGGAATAATTATCATCTACTATGGAGAAAATTTCTCACATAAGAATATTTCATATATCATAAATTCTTTCATATTAGTGCAAATCTTGCTAAACATTATAAGTAACATACATTATCATATGGAAAAGTTTGTCCATAACTCTGATAGATTGAATGAACTGGATTTTAATTTTATTTGCCAAGAAAAAACCAAACCAAAGAGCACCCAAGGTGTGGCCTAGTGGTCAATAAAGTAGTTGAGAACTATGAGGTCCCAGGTTCAAAACTCACTGGAAACAAAAAACACTAGGTGATTCTTTCCATCAGTCCTAGCTTTGGTAGACAGAATTACCTAATCCCTATTGCTGGTGGGAGGTGGCAGGTATCCCATAGAATTAGTCGAGGTGCACGAGAGCTAGCCTGGACACCATGATCATCAAATAAATAAAAAAAGCCAAACCAAAAAAGCTATATAGTTGGTCTAGTTTTGCTTTTGATGAAAATCAAATCAAACCCCATGAACAAATCCTATTATAAAGGAAAATAAAATAAAATCATAACAAAATATTTCATCATATATACGACTTAAATATTAATGCAAATCATGCTAATCTTCATTTGATTGTGTCCATACATGCAATTACTTCGACATTACAATTACAAAAGATAAAAGTTGAAGTTATAGAAGTTACAAACTTGCTTTTCTGTCATAATGTATTTCATTGTGACTTGTGAGACACTGAGTTCTGATTATCTTCTTCGGAACAATCAGAAGTATGACTACTTTCACTTTTTGGTGAAATGTTATCTTTAAAACTCTCAGTATGAGGCATATCTTGCCTCATTTTTCCTTGTTGTTCAAGTTCAGCTGCCACCTCCTTCATGGATGGCCTTCTCCTTGCATTAAAATTTAAGCATCTCTTGGCAAGTTTGGCCACAGCAGGAATCACATGTTCATCCTCAACTTCTTTTACAATTTCAGGGTCTACAATCTCAATTATACGATTTTCTTTCAATGCTAATGTGAAACGGAAAGCCAAACCTGGATCTTCTGGTTGGTTTGAAGTGACAACTCTTTGACTTGTTAGAAGCTCTGCAAGAATTACACCGAAGGCATAGACATCACATTTGTCTGTAAGTTGACCTGAGCGGAAGTATTCTGGATCTATGTAACCAAATGTACCCCCTACCATTGTTGTTAAATGAGTCTTGTCAACAGACAACAATCTCGATAGTCCAAAATCAGAAACCACTGCTCTAAAATTTTCGTCTAGTAATATGTTGCTTGATTTTATATCTCTGTGAAGAATGGGAGTAGAAGCACATGAGTGCATGTAAGATAGTGCCCCTGCTATTTCTGCAGCAATTCGCACCCGATGATCCCACGATAATATTATTGCTGGGTGCGGAAGAATCTGATCATCCAACTCAGACTTTGAGACAGAAGGGTTAGAACTGTGACTGAGGTTTCCATGAATATGGGATGACAAGGTTCCATTCGAGATGTACTCATAAACTAATAATGGGACTTGAGTTTCTAAGCAACAACCAAGTACCTGTTGTAAACAGTAAACTTAAATGTTAAAAGTGTGATCAAGTGCTAGGTTCAATTGTATTTTGAGTTATCTTTGGTTCATGAGTGACTAATGAGTTATCCTAAACTGTTCGCTTATTATGGTTGAAGCGAATAGGAACACGAGTTGATGTAGTAGCTCAGTGTGTGCGACTGCGTGTGTGTGTAAGTCTAGTGTGTTATTTTGTAAGAGTATAGGAGTCTTTCTAATATTATAAGTTCAGTGTGTTATTTTGTAAGAGTATAGGAATCTTTCTAATATTATAAGTTCTCTCTTCAATCCTCTTTAGGCATTATAAATTTCTCTATCGTCGAATTGTGTTGCTCTCTTCTTCCATTCATAATAAAATGGTAGCAGGAGCCTAGTACAAAAATCAACAGTACCTTGACAATGTGTCTGTGATTTATTTGGGAGAGTATGAGTATCTCATTTATAAACTGTCCAATTTGATCTTTATCCACTGCATTGGACTTCTTCACAGCTACAATGCTTCCATCTGATAACATTCCTTTGTAAACAGTCCCAGCCCCTCCTTTACCAAGAATTCGAATTTCATTGAAATTGTCTGTTGCTTTCTCCAACTCCTCCTTCAAAAAGAGCTTTGGCAAAGAGCCACCACTACTTTCTCCATTTAAGGAAATACGTTGTCGCAAAAGCAATCCACCATTCCTCTTGAAATACTTTTGCTTAGCTTTGTTTTCTTCCCTCTTCCGGAGCCATTTGCATAGCCAAAGACAAACTGCTACCAGGATCACAAAAATAATTGCTGCTCCAATACCTGCTTGTGAGCAAACCAATTTCATCTAAAACAAGCATAAATTCATTTTGAGAATCTAAGAGAAAGAGCTTTAAATGCTTATCCAGGCCCCTTTGTAATTTTAAAGCATATATTAAGTTGAACTTCTAAGTTTCTAAAGAGCAGTTAGCTAGAATAAACATGAATAGGATTATGAATCATTTGTTGGGACAGTTCAAAAGGAGTAATTTGTGTCAAATAAAAATTTATAGAAAGCTTAAGTTAATCTAACAAAGAAACAAGAGGAGAAAAAAGAAGACAAAGAAGAGAGTTATACAATACCGATGGAGAGTTGTTTAGCTAGCATATGTCTCACATTATTTGAGTCACAATGGTAAGTGCCAAGAGTATTAACACAGCGAGTATTGTTGGGACAAGGATTCCTTTTTGGACTGGCACACTCATCGATGTCTGTGAAAATTAACAAGAAGTCATCATAAAAACTGACATTAGTAACTTAGAAAATAAGTCATGTTACATGCTAAAAACAAGTTAAAATAAAGGGGTACAGTGGGATATTGTTATATTGTTACTCTCTTTGTTTCATTTTATGTCTTAGTTTGATTTTGCACTAAATTTAAAAACCTAAAGAATACTTTTGGATCTTGTGTTGAACAAAAGGTGCCTATAACACACTAAGGGGTCATTTGGTAGATTCAGTGTTTAGGGGAGCGCAAAGCGGTAAAAAGCGACAAGGCCCCACTTCATGCTTTAAGCGAAGCGTGAAGCGAAGCACTCGCTTCATTGAAGTGAAGCACAATTTAAAAGAAAAAAGACCAAAATAAATAGACAAAATTTATAAGCAAAAATTCATATTAAAATACTAGAAAACAGACATACAATTGTTGTCCTATTGGTCTCACTTTTTTCCCATATTTTCATGTTGGGCCAGCCATTTTTAATCGCGGATAAGATTTAAGAAAACTAATCAACATTATATTTTTATCACTATTAAGAAAAAATTCAACAACATTTTAGTCATTGTTAAGAAACAAAACAATTTAGCGATGTATATTTTAATCACTGTGAGGAAAAAAATTAAGCAACATATAATTTAAATAATCAAAGCTAAACAGGGCAAAGGAAAACAGAATAACGAACAAAGTGGAAAAAAAATAAAAATATCCTAGGCTAGTTGTAGTAGTAGTAGTAGTAAGAAGAAGAAGAGGAAGAACTAGGTAAGTCATGCCTATTTTTATTCTTTAAAATCGATCACTTATTACTTAGAAAAAATAAAAGCGTTGCTTTTCTCGCTTCACCGCTTCTGGTCGCATTGCGCTTCAAGCCTAGAAGCGGTCGCTTCTTTTCACATGCCTCGCTTCAGCCAACTGAAGCGCTGAACCCTCGCTTCACCGCTTAAAGCAATGAAGCGCTCGCTTTCCTGAACACTGGGTAGATTGTATTAGGAAAAATAGTTCATGTATTATGTATAGTATTATATAGTACTATGTTTGGTGGGAATTTTGGGCCTATTTATAATTAATGCATGTATTAGTTATACATGTTATATGGTATTATTATAGGGTGTATAACTAATACCTTCCATTTGGTGGTATTAATACATAGGATTTAATACCATGGTTCATTATATGTAAAGACAAAAATACCCGTCAAATCCTTTTAATCATTTTTGTTTACTTTCTTGATTTTATGTTTTATATTTGTACTAGTAAATTTATTTAAATAAATTAGCTTACAAATTTTATTATTTAGAGAGAGTTGTTTGTTGCTAAATAAATCTAATACAAATCATTAAATCAATACAATATTTGAAATGTGAGTTGTTCAACATTTACTAATTCAAAAGGCAAAATATATGGCCACATGACATTTATGATCTTAATTGAATGTATTACTTATTGATATATATGTGGTTTTATGATTATTTGTATTTTGAACAATTTATAAAATTACATACATATTAAAACTATAACTTGCCATTTTGTGTGTAAAAATAGATGGTTTATTCGATATTTTAGTATTGTTTACCGTCTTTTCGGTTTTGAAAGTAGATGGTCTATCTTTTTTGAATTAAAAATTGACGATTTGTGAGTGATCAATTTATTAAGGGTTAGAACTGTGACTGAGGTTTCCATGAACATGGGATGACAAGGTTCCATTCGAGATGTACTCATAAACTAATAATGGGACTTGAGTTTCTAAGCAACAACCAAGTACCTGTTGTAAACCGTAAACTTAAATGTTAAAAGTGTGATCAAGTGCTAGGTTCGATTCTTGCTAACTTTAAGTTTTTAACATCATTTTTTGTTAGTCAAAACTCACTAAATATTTTGTTGGTTACTTTTTAAAATTTTGCACACCCTTCATAAAATGTCTGGCTCCGCCACTGTGCAAGTCTAGTGTGTTATTTTGTAAGAGTATAGGAGTCTTTCTAATATTATAAGTTCGCTCTTCAATCCTCTTTAGGCATTATAAATTTCTCTATCGTCGAATTGTGTTGCTCTCTTCTTCCATTCATAATAAAATGGTAGCAGGAGCCTAGTACAAAAATCAACAGTACCTTGACAATGTGTCTGTGATTTATTTGGGAGAGTATGAGTATCTCATTTATAAACTGTCCAATTTGATCTTTATCCACTGCATTGGACTTCTTCACAGCTACAATGCTTCCATCTGATAACATTCCTTTGTAAACAGTCCCAGCCCCTCCTTTACCAAGAATTCGAATTTCATTGAAATTGTCTGTTGCTTTCTCCAACTCCTCCTTCAAAAAGAGCTTTGGCAAAGAGCCACCACTACTTTCTCCATTTAAGGAAATACGTTGTCGCAAAAGCAATCCACCATTCCTCTTGAAATACTTTTGCTTAGCTTTGTTTTCTTCCCTCTTCCGGAGCCATTTGCATAGCCAAAGACAAACTGCTACCAGGATCACAAAAATAATTGCTGCTCCAATACCTGCTTGTGAGCAAACCAATTTCATCTAAAACAAGCATAAATTCATTTTGAGAATCTAAGAGAAAGAGCTTTAAATGCTTATCCAGGCCCCTTTGTAGTTTTAAAGCATATATTAAGTTGAACTTCTAATTTTCTAAAGAGCAGTTAGCTAGAATAAACATGAATAGGATTATGAATCATTTGTTGGGACAGTTCAAAGGAGTAATTTGTGTCAAATAAAAATTTATAGAAAGCTTAAGTTAATCTAACAAAGAAACAAGAGGAGAAAAAAGAAGACAAAGAAGAGAGTTATACAATACCGATGGAGAGTTGTTTAGCTAGCATATGTCTCACATTATTTGAGTCACAATGGTAAGTGCCAAGAGTATTAACACAGCGAGTATTGTTGGGACAAGGATTCGTTTTTGGACTGGCACACTCATCGATGTCTGTGAAAATTAACAAGAAGTCATTATAAAAACTGACATTAGTAACTTAGAAAATATATAAGTCATGTTACATGCTAAAAACAAGTTAAAATAAAGGGGTACAGTGGGATATTGTTATATTGTTACTCTCTTTGTTTCATTTTATGTCTTAGTTTGATTTTGCACTAAATTTAAAAACCTAAAGAATACTTTTGGATCTTGTGTTGAACAAAAGGTGCCTATAACACACTAAGGGGTCGTTTGGTATATTCAGTGTTTAGGGGAGTGCAAAGCAGTAAAAAGCAACAAGGCCCTGCTTCATGCTTTAAGTGAAGCGTGAAGCGTGAAGCGTGAAGCGTGAAGCGTGAAGCGAAGCGCTCGCTTCATTGAAGTGAAGCACAATTTAAAAGAAAAAAAGACCAAAATAAATAGACAAAATATATAAGCAAAAATTCATATTAAAATACTAGAAAACAGACATACAATTGTTGTCCTATTGGTCTCACTTTTTCCCCCATATTTTCATGTTGGGCTAGCCATTTTTAATCGCAGATAAGATTTAAGAAAACTAATCAACATTATATTTTTATCACTATTAAGAAAAAATTCAACAACATTTTAGTCATTGTTAAGAAACAAAACAATTTGGCGATGTATATTTTAATCACTGTGAGGAAAAAAATTAAACAACATATAATTTAAATAATCAAAGCTAAACAGGGCAAAGGAAAATAGAATAACGAACAAAGTGGAAAAAAAAGAAGAAATATCCTAGGCTAGTTGTAGTAGTGGTAGTAGTAAGAAGAAGAAGAGGAAGAACTAGGTAAGTCATGCCTATTTTTATTCTTTAAAATCGATCACTTATTACTTAGAAAAAATAAAAGCATTGCTTTTCTCGCTTCACCACTTCTGGTCGCATCGCGCTTCAAGCCCAGAAGTGGTCGCTTCTTTTCACATGCCTCGCTTCAGCCAACTGAAGCGCTCGCTTTCCTGAACACTGGGTAGATTGTATTAGGAAAAATAGTTCGTGTATTATGTATAGTATTATATAGTACTATGTTTGGTGGGAATTTTGGGCCTATATATAATTAATGCATGTATTAGTTATACATGTTATATGGTATTATTATAGGGTGTATAACTAATACCTTCCATTTGGTGGTACTAATAATACATAGGATTTAATACCATGGATCAATATATGTAAAGACAAAAATACCCGTCAAATCCTTTTAATCATTTTTGTTTACTTTCTTGATTTTATGTTTTTATATTTGTACTAGTAAATTTATTTAAATAAAATTAGCTTACAAATTTTATTATTTAGAGAGTAGTTGTTTGTTGCTAAATAAATCTAATACAAATCATTAAATCAATACAATATTTGAAATGTGAGTTGTTCAACATTTACTAATTGAAAAGACAAATATATGGCCACGTGACATTTGTGATCTTAATTGAATGTATTATTTATTGATATATATGTGGTTTTTTGATTATTTGTATTTTGAACAATTTATAAAATTGCATACATATTAAAACTATAACTTGCCATTTTGTGTGTAAAAATAGATGGTTTATTCGATATTTTAGTATTGTTTACCGTCTTTTCGGTTTTGAAAGTAGATGGTCTATCTTTTTTGAATTAAAAATTAACGATTTGTGAGTGATCAATTTATTAGAATGACAATTATTCTCAAAAAATTTTATTAGAATGACAATTATTTACCCTCAAATAATTCAAGTGAGAAAATAGCAAACACGGCGACAAAAAATTGTTCTTTTCCTAGCTAGTTAGAAGGCCCTTGACCCAATTACATGTAATAGAAAATTGTATAATAATTCAAGGGTACAATTGGAAAGAAGCTTTTTGTAGAGGTTTACACAAAAATAGGTGGAAAGCAATGAACCAGATAAAAAATAATCTCTGTATTATTAATCTATAGATTACTAATCTCTGCATTATTAATCTTTGTATTGAATGACCCCTAAAAGTACTTTAAATCCTGTGATCTTAGAGATTCCATGGCATTCCTATAAGGGAGTCTTATCAAGCATAACATATGAGAATATAGGAATTAAAAACTTACTAAATATAGAAAAACATGAAGCTCCTTGTTGAAACAGACTAAAAACGAAAATAAGATACGTATACACAAGTTAAATCGCAAAAACAAAAAGAGAAACTGACCAGGGATTAGTACCTTGGCATCCATGAAGGAGGTAAGGGTTGCCTTCATAACCAGAAGAGCAATCGCATCGGTATCCCCCAGCAGGTCTAGTAGTATCATCGATGCACCTACTATTCTTTGTACATGCATATTTTGGCATTCTTGTGGCTTTGTTGCAACTAAGATTGCCAATTACCCAGTCCAGCGCCATCCTTCCTTCATAATGATCATCTTCTTTGCACTTACCACGTAACTGAGTGAAGTCAAACTCGGAACTGCCCTTTTCCACAATTAAGTAATAGGTGCAATTGCTAGATGTCCAAGATGTTTCCGCCGTGTTCATTGTTTGTATGTACATATTGAAGTCTCTTGGTACTATTTTTGATAATTCAGACTGACAACAACCGTTATTCCCAGTGCAATAAGATGATGAAACATTATAAGTGGAGTTGCCACAGAAAGAAGCACATTGACTTACAATGCTGCCTCCACTACCGGTGTCTAAATCTTTGGCATAAGCATAAATGTCACACCCAATGGCTACTAAGTTGTTCTTGTTGGAAATACTGAAATACTCGTTACTGGTTGCTTGAAGATAATCATTGTAAATGTTCTTTCCAGATGATTTGTTGTAGAGGAAAGGAGTAAAAGTAATATAAAGAGTGATGGAGTCCATTGATATGTGTTGCACAGGCAAACCATTACCATGACTAAAAGCAGTATTGTTATCGCAGCTCACTTCAAATGCTTCATTGAAGTAACACTTTTTTCCTATTCCAAATGGAAAAGGAATGGTTACGTTGCCACATCGTTCTGGGCATCCAGGTCTTTGTGAAGATAATATTGCTGATGATGACCATATTCTTATAGCTGAAACTTGTGTTGTTTCTTTAGAAAGCAGCCCCGTCAGAAGAATGAAAAATGACCACATGGTTATCTGCATCTTCATGTATTACTGCCTCATTCTCTGGTTGAATCGTATCTTATGATGGCACAAAATTCTGCAAACATCATTAGACTTTTGAAATAGGCCCTGCTAAGGCTTCCCCACTTCTCGACAAACGAAAAAAGTAATAACTTTACAAGTGGGATCCATATTATGATTTTTAAATGTTTTGGTCCGGTTAATATTTAATTTGCATTTTCGATTCATCATTGTTGGATCGAGCTGGTCTTTTTACGTGGAGTTTCTAACATCCTATTCTTAATTTGAATAGTGGAGATAGTGATTGTATCTACTGTTTCCCTTTCCATGCCTCATTTGATATGTTTTACTTGAACCGAGGTATCCATTGGAAACAATCTCTCTAACTTCACAAAGTAGGGGTGAGGTTGCGTACACCCCACCCTCCCCAAACCCCACTTGTGAGATTATATGCTTATGTTGTTGTTGTTGAGATCGTGATTGTAGCTGCAAAATTTTGTTTTAAGAAATAGACGGCTTTGTCTTCAAGCCGTCAATAAAATTGAGCTATAATATGTGATTATGATTGTACACTGATGCTTTAGTCCTTTTTACTTATTGGCAAGCTAATACACGATTATGATATTTAGTGCATTGATGCACAAGTCTTCATTTCTTTATAGTTTGCTAATATGTGATTATGATATATAGTACATTGATGCAGAAGTCTTCTTTACTTTATAGTGAGCTAATATGCGATTATATATATAGTGATTGATGCAGGAGTCTTCTTTATGTTACGTCAAGCTAATATATGATTATAATATATAGTATATTACATTGATGCATAAGTCTTCTTTATTTTACCGTGAGCTAATATGTGATTATGATATATAATGAGTCTTCTTTACTTTATGTAAAGCTAATATGTGATTAAAATATATAGTGAGTGCTAATATGTGATTAAAATATATAGTGAGTCTTCTTTGCTTTATGTAAAGCTAATACTATATGATTATGATGTATAGTAACATTGATGTATAAATTTTCTTTATTTTACAGCTTTTTGATTATTTTGTGTGGGTGGAACACTAGTCCCTACAAGTCTTACTATAGTTCATTCTATACAATGGTCGATTGCCTCCTCCATTATTGGCTCAATTCACAGGCGAATCTAGAATATAGCATACGGGTTCACAAGAATTCAATCACTTCGGTATTTATATCAATAATTCTTCTAAATGTTTACAAATATTTAACTATGAACTCAATTTTTATTATTATATTACTTGAAGTTGTTGTAGAAACTGATAAATTTTAAATTTTGGATTTGGCTATGACTCCATAAATGCTAAAAGTCAATAACGACCAGGTTTAATTATTGGTATTAAAGGTTTTTAGCATACGGTATTATTATTGTACTCAATACCCTATTGGGTTCCTATTTTTTGTGCTTACAGAGTTTTAGTGAGCACATTTTGTGGTTCTAAAGAGATTTAAAGGACAAAAAATCTGGTAGTAAAAAATCTTTAGAAACAAGAGCATACACAGTTTAAAATCTGTTTATTAATCCGAAGTAATTTTTGGAAAAATATTTTTAGAGAGTAACCGTTTGTGTTTTGGCTAATCCATTAAAACAATATTTTTGCCAATATTACAGTAATAAGTTGTGGCCGGATTGTGAGGGAGTGGAAAAAACACAAGGAGTAAACACATAATTAAGCCGAAAGGAATAAAAAGAAGAGCGTTCAGATGAACCCCTCGCCTTACTTGGCTATGCCCCGTCCACGGAGAAACATGATGCTTACAATCAGGGGCGGAGCTACTCTCTAGGGTGTCCCTTAAAGCACCATATATACAAGTAAAATGATAAATGAAGTGGTTAAATAACATATTGCCCAATGGTTTCAGGCGCCTAAAAATCAGCAAACTCTTTTCTTCTTTTTTTCACTTTTTAAGAAGAGCACGCTCACTTATTAATATTAAGTATTTTAATTTTGTACACTTGTTTGTCAAAAAATTATACTTGAGCAATTTCTGGACACTCTTTGTGAAACACGGCTTATGATCAATTGAAGTTGAATTGTTTCATTGCTCATATCACTAGATAGACTTTTTAGGAATGGAATCACATCAGAGTACATTAATTCTCAGCTTAACATAAAGTTATTATTAAAAAGACAAACACATGCTAAATAAAAATATAAAGAAACAAACAATTGAACGATCCAAGAGGGAATCCATAGAATTTAAGTGCTCCCTCTCAATTTCAATTTGTTTGGTTGGTTTTAACGGTCATACGGAGTTTAAAAAAGTTAAAAAAAAAAATGATTAATGGCACCTGAATCAAGTATCCAATAACTCAATGTGGACGATTGCTAGCTAACTAGAAAGCCATACTCCAAAGGGGACTCTTGATGTTGTTCTATGACTTCTAATATTATTCAGAACCACAAGTGAGGCTTAACAAAATAGAATGTACGCAAACCTAATTCCTACGGTAGAAGGTAGAGGGATTGTTTCCCATAGACCCTCGGCTCAAGAAAAAAACATATCAAAGCAAATCGAAAAAGGAATAATCAAAAAAGTGATTCAAGAATCATGATGAGTTGAGTTAATGCAATGTACAAACCAGATTTACCAACTGAATCCATCACTATAGGCACATCCAAATATGATTATCCCAACCAATGAAGCTATTAGTCAACTATATCAAGTAACACTTGACTATTAAAGAATTTAACAAAACTTGAGGAGTTTATTGGCTTTCTCTTCCAAATACCCTACAAAATGATAGTAATATGACAATAAAAAGTAAACAAGAATGACTTAAAGACACATCTGCAGCTGTTTCTTCAATGGTTCTTTTGTTTCTTTCTGCCATAAGAGACTTCTTTAATCCAGCTTCACTGAAGAGAACAAGAAATGTACAAACCAGAAGGAGGAAAGGAACCCGACCGTGCCTGTCGCGAGCATGATGGCAAGGACCATGAAGAGGGAATATCCAAGGTAAAGGGTAGCAGAAACAGGCCCGCTCAAGCTCTTGAGATCAAAGATTAGATAGTTAACGGAGTAGAGGAAAATGTATATAGCAACTGATCCGGAGGCAAAGAAGGATTTCCACCACCATTTCCAGTCCTCCACACAAAGATGCATGTAAGTCAGAACAAGAGAGACCTCAGCACAGACTATGACGAGAAGGATCATGACAATGAGGAGGAAGCCGAAGACATAGTAGACACGACCCATCCAGAGACTCGACATGATGAAGAAGAGCTCAATGAACAGAGTACCGAAAGGAAGGGTGCCTGCACCCAAAACTAAAAGCCAAGATGGATATTTTTGTGGTGGGATTTCACGGGGGATCTGGTTGGTTCGGACTGGGTATTCAATGTGAGGAGCCTTAGCCCCCAAATAACCACCGACTAGGGTTAGAGGAACGGAAATGCAGAACCAAAGTAAAATGAGGACGACAAACAGAGAAAATGGTATGGCCCCTGTGCTGTGACTACCCCATAGCAGAAAGTTCAATGTGGTTAGAATGAGAAAAGCAATTCCAGGGAAGAAACAAGCAGCTTTCCATGAGACTGAAATCCATCCCTTGTGATCGCCACAGAAGATTGTCCTCCAGAGACGAACAGCAACATAACCAGCGGCAACACCAAGAATCATATAGAAGAATAGCATGCCGGTAATCAATGTTCCACGAGAAGCTGGGGACATAAATCCGAGGGCAGCAAACATGATAGTCACAACACCCATCCCTAGAATTTGAACCCCATCTCCAACCATCGCACACAAAAGTCCTGGATTACTCGGAGCCCTGAAAACATCACTTACCACAAGTTTCCACCCGGATAACTCCTCATTCATCTGAGCTTGAGCCTCTTTGTCAAGTTCCTCATACCTTGTCAGATCCCGCCTGACAGTCCTCAAGAAGATTACAAGCACAATTCCAGCCAAGAAAGTGATCACCATAAGGGAGTTAAGGATAGAGAACCAATGCACCTTTGCACCTTCCATCTTCAAATAAGCATCCCATCTTGATGGCCACTTAATGTCACTTTCCACAAAGTTCACCTCATAAGTAAACGAAACAGGCTCATTTTCTTTAATAGCCATGGCAACAGTTGTAGGGTCGCACTTAATTGGAGTCGGGTACTTATTGTACATTTTCAAGTTCTTTGCTGAATCAGGAGCATGTTGAACACTACAAGGAACAACCTCAAACCCAACAACCATGTAACCAGGTTCCTCAGATCCATCCTTTCCAACTGTTGATATCACCTCAGCTCCATCCCCAGTACCCATAACACGAGCCACATTGGTCTCTTCATACTTATGAACAAGAACTGTAAACTTCAAGTGATTAAACACATAATATGCATCTTGAACCTTGATCCCAACCGGATAACCAGTCCACCGCAAGAAATAACCTGCCTTCCTCGTATATCGAATAGCAGGCAAATTATCAAGAATCAAATTCACTTGATACATCTCATCAATCCTCTTCTTCAAAAGCTTAAACTCCTCACCAGACAAAGGTTTAGTTTGACACATGAAAATCTCAGTCTCATTACTATGCATCTTAAACCTATAAGGAGAATTCTCAATCCTATCTCCCATAAGAAGCTCACCAAGATTCTCAGCACTATCCTTCACACCCTCTTGTGGTTGGCAAAAAGGTAAACTATAATAACTATAAGGCAACTCAGTGTCAATTGAAGTCAATGAATTCACCTTAACATTCAACAAATCGCCAACCTCATATTTATGAGGGTAACTTCCAGGCAGATAAAACCCATAACCCAATTCAAACACCAAGCAGATTAACAAAACCCAAATCTTGAATTTCTCAAAAGATCTCATTTTTAGTGGTTTCTTGATCAGATCTGGATGACCCAGATCAGGAACTGTAAGTAAAATGTCAAAATCAGTGGAATTTCTCAACAGGGTTTAACACAACAATGAAAAAATCAATGGTTTTGGGATCAGATAATGCAGTTGTAATTACTAGTAAACAAGTATTGCAAAACAAGATATGCAGAGATCTAACTTACCTCCAAAAGGGGAATTCTGAGGGCTGCAATTGAGAGATTGTTGAGTGACAGAGGAAGATCTAGACGCAAAGAATTTATATGTATTCCTATTTTTCCTCGTCGGTGGGAGATTTTGGCCAGACTTTTGGGACCCTCTTGAAGAAAAATGACTTATGTCCTAATCATCAAACCAAGATGGGGGTGGGGGGTTGGACTTTATAATACTTTCCTTTTTTATAATATAATAATTTCAATGTCTTACGCGCGTCTTGACTAATTTAATGTAATAAATATTATAATACTCTGCTTTTTTTATACTTTCAATGTGTGTCACGACTCTCAACTAATTTAACGAGACAAAACATTATATTGTAATAGTCTGACATCTCTGGCTTCAATTTTTTTCTTTTCAGCGTGAAAATCTCAAAATCAGAACTAATAGAATTGATTTTCATAATAATAAAATAAATTTAAATTGTAAGACATTTACATTACCATAAGAAAAAACTGGAATTAGATCTTGAAAATAATTCACTCTATACAAAAGTAATGAAATATGTTGTGGGGGGGGGGGGGGGTTCCGTTTTTATTAATTTAATAATTTCAATGTCTTACACGCATCTCGATTAATTTAATGCGATAAATATTATAATACTTTGCTTTTTTATAATATTAATATGTGTCTCAACTAATTTAACGAGATAAAACATTATATTGTAATAGTCTGACATCTCTGGCTTCAAAGGTTTTTTTCAGCGTGAAAATCTCAAAATCAGAACTAGTAGAATTAATTTTCTTAATAATAAAATAAATTTAGATTGTAAGACATTTTCATTACCATAATAAAAAATTGGAATTAGGTCTTGAAAATAATCAACTCTACACAAAAGTAATGAAACATATTTACGGTCAATCTTTTATATAATTTTTAGGGGGAAAAAGATACAA